TGTTTTTAACACTTTTAGCCAAAAAAAAAATTTTTTTTTTTTTTTTTGAAAAAGAGAAACGTCTGGTGCCATCACCTTTTGTATTTCCTTGTGTAGCCAAGACTGCCACAGGCTTTTCCGAGAGGACGGGGGCAGCCAGTTCGGATTCCGACAGCAATGCAGTAGCATTAAGGTGTTCGGACCAAAATATGTCCTAAGCAGGTCCATCTAGTCAGGCAGCATTTTAGTAAAGAAGTATCGCCATATTCAGAGTGCAGGGGCACTCGCTCCTATGAGCGCTGCAGGAGGACAGACGCTGGGAGTCAAACTGCAGTGCACACACAGCGACAAGCCGTCCCCCTTCCCATCTCTGCCTGCCCAGCCCCACACAAGCCTATCTTTATCATGCAGAGACAATTAAAGGGCTGCAGACTCTGGGTGCATTGCTGTGTCCTGGCTCCCACTGGGTGAGTTGTTGCCAGTCTGACATTTTCCCAAATTCTCCACTAGTGAGCTACATCGGGTAGCAAAGCAAGGACTTCACTAACCAGGACCCATCACCACGGTCTTGGGAGGTTTGGGTTCCCGAACCTTACAGGGCACTACCTAGCTATTGTGGGAGAGGCTGTCACCAGTGGTAGACATGAAGTATCCCGTTTCCTACGGAAACCGCCCTGGCTGTGTGGTGCTGGCCGGGCACCTCATCTCTCTGTATGATCTTTATCTCCTTTTTAAAAGGGCGCCCCTCACCACCTATCTCTCTATCCACATCTCAGAGTTCATTCTAAAAGAGCCAACACAAAGGCCATCCATCCTACAGCCATAAGGGTCTCGGCGCTGAAATACCCTGCCAGAAAGAGAACGAAGACCTTTCCCAGCAAAGTTGTGGGGACAGGGAGAGGAATGTGACCATCAGAGACCTTTCTCCTTCAAGTTTACAAGAAATAAACAATAGAAACTGCAGAGTCAGGGAGCCCAAGAACAGGAGCTCAGAAAAGGAGAAGTGCCACAGGATGGAAGCGCCTGTCAAACCCGGGGACACCGGCAAGCCCAGAGGGGTACCGTGGTCCCGTTTCCCTGCCATGTGCCCCCAAACCACATGCCCCATTCCACATCCCCATGCCAGGAGGCCAGGGAAAGGGGAAGCAGAGCCCCTGCTCGGCCAGCCACTCCAGGGGCAGAACACAGGCTGGACTCAGAGTTGCAGGGTCAAAATCACAAACACTGTCCGGAGCCGGGGACATCAGTCAGGGCACGGGCAGCTCTCTGGGTCTGAGGCGCAGTTTGGGGAGCGTGGATGCAATCACACGCGTACACACACATGCACGGGGTTTTACAAATCCGCCCCTACCCCACTGCCTCCCTCCTCACTTCACACACCAAGTGCACCCTGCCCACCGCACCGTTTCCATCATCACATTCTTCCTCCCGGAGAGTCATCGGGAGACGAGGGATCCTAGCGGGGATTCCTGGAAATGTCATCCCCCAACACCTCCGCTCCACCACCTCCACCCCTTCGCTGTACCTTTTACACACACACACACACACACACACACACACACACACACACACAGGCACACCCTTGCCATGTCTGTCATCAGGCCTGCCCGCAGCCCCCAGAGCCCCGGACTCCCTGCGCGCACCGGACTCCGGCGTCTCTCGCCCAACGCCCCTTCCCCCGTCTCGCTGGCTCGATGGCTACAGGCACTGCCCCCTGGATGTCGCCTGCTGTCCCCGCTCAGCCTCACTATTGTTCCAGGCAGCCCCTCTCACGCCCGGGGGCGCCCGTCAGCGGGACCGGGGCTCCGGCAGGGGTGGCATCAGCGCCGGGCACCCACCACTCACCCACCCCTCCCTGGCGATGGTACCTTGCCTGACAGCTGGGTCCGCGGGCCCGC